GCAAAGAAAAGAAGAAGGACCTACTACTTTTGACACCCTTAAACCACCCACATGAACACATACACGAACAGGCAGCAGATAAAAAAAATACAAGCAGACAAAGACTGCACGCCATCTGTCTTTGGGACTCACATCCTGTAGCAGTCTCTCCAGATTGTCCAGCATCTCGTAGAAGTAGGTCTTGGTCACTGTCTTCTCGGCTGCTTTGTTCAGGCAGTCCCGTGCCAGCTCCAGAACCTGATAAAAACATACGCGCCCAATTAGTGTTTGAGATTTCAGTGGGGTTTTTTTGTTTGGGTACAACTATCATGTCACTTGCTACACAATTAGGTCATACAGGTGTCGAAGATTAGAGGTGTTACTAGAGAGCAACATCTAAAGAAAAGAAGAATGAGAGATAGTCTAGTAAGAGTTTTACGGAGATTGCAACTGCATAAGGTTATAAAGAAAAAGGAAAGATAAGGATGACAAATGTTTGCTTGGAAAGAAGGAGCAAACCACACCTGAGCACTTGTCAACCACCCACATGTTTGAAGTTTAGTAAGAGTTTTTAAAAAAGTAGATCAACCAAATGACCATCATTTCATGTCAGGAATAAGAAAGACTGGCAAAAATAGTAGAGGAGCAGAGGGGAAAAAAAAGGAGTACGACCCACCAACTGCCTGTACAATATCATACACGCCCAGTTAGGTAGATATGATTTCATTTTTTAAAAGTTTTTAAAAATTGGTAACTACTGATTAAACTCCTTTTCAACACTGATTTAAAGTTAGTAAAGTTCGCACCCCTAGAACATTCTTAAAAATAAGAAAGTCTTCTGCACACAATGCCATGGTGATCCAGATGGCCTTACTGAGAGTGCAGGCCTCAAATGTGCATAACAGGTAGAGTAAATTCCATATGAAGAGCTCTAGTTTACTTTTACCCAACAGAGTAAGGCTGTCTCAGAGGTGAGGCGAAACCTCTGAATGTAACGTCATCATCCATCAAGCTTAAGGCAAGTTTTAAAAACACAGACTGAATGGTGCTTCTGGTCACCATTTCATTACATAGGTTTGACGCCCCTTTCAACACTGTAAGGTTATTTAAGAGCAGGACCTTCAAATTTAACATCAGTCTTGGACAGGACCCAAAGATAGGACTGAGCCAGATGGGTTGAGATCCTTGAAAACTCCACAAAACGACCCGAGCTCAAGATCGCCAAGTCTTGTATTTGAATTGAACCCGTTCCCAAGCCATTCAAGATGTAGTACTGCATGATACCAACTGAGCTAATGGAGCGCCCCCAACTGTGTTTTGCTTTTGTTTTAGTAGAGGTTTTACGGTGCTAGCAACTGCATAACGTCATATCAGCGCCAAGGGGTGGATATCAACAGAGAAGTCCTTACAGATTATCAGACTTACTTTGCTCACCTATTTAGCTTCAATAGCACAAAGTCTGCTTCGACTATCAAGGCATCCCGGAAATAGCGGGTCACAAGAGTGTGACAAACATACAAAAGAAGTAGAGGAAAAATGACGATATCACTATCGTCATTAGGCTTAGGAAAGAAAAAGCAGCAGTTCCCTGTTGCAGTTCAGGCACAGCTATGAGCATGACATTGATGAATCAGCCCATTTACAATTACAATTCTACTGTGCATAAGAACTCTGAGATGTTTATGTCTCCCTTTTGGGAATGGCCTAAAGGCACTTCAGTCAGTGGCACTGCCCCAGGGGGTATCCCAACTGTGTGGCGCCCACAGTCACCTGATAGTGCAAGAAGCAGAGCACAGCGTCTGACTCCTGAGCCAGGTCAAGAGTGGCGTTGCTGTCAATGAACATCTTCAGCTTCTCCACCATCTGAGCAGTGGCCTGGAAATAAAAATAACAAAAGATAATTAATTAAAAAATTATATTATAATTATATATTGAAACAATTAGTGAAAAAAAAGAAGTAGAGACTAAATAGGGAATACTCCAACCACCCGCTGATTCGGGAAAGTAGCAAAAAGCAACTTCCCGTTGAGAAATAAGAGGAGCAGACCACATTAGAACTCTCACAAATACGCGCTGATGAAGTAAGGAATGGGGGAAACAACCATAATCTCTCCTTTAAACACACTGAGCTACTGCTGGTGACCATGGAAC